CTCTGAACAGAGTTGGCCAATATAGTCCAGCTTGCAGAACCTTGATTGTCGTTCTCTGACCGTTGAAATTTCCACCATAGGGAGAATTGTGGCATTTGTGCAACACCTCTGTGGTGGACATTTCAACGGTCAGAGAACGACAATTGGTCTGCACCTCTTTTGAATAAGTAGGGTTTATCCCATAGGTAGATTTGAGCATCATGCAGGAATCTCTTGCGTTGTTGAGGGGTGAAATCTGGGGGAATAACACCAGAAAAATAGCAACAAAGTTAGCAAAATCTGCAAACCAAGGCCTGTTACCTGTCACTCCCATGAGTGTGCCTGTCACTCGCAAGAGTGACTCATCAGGGAATTTTCCTAAACTTGGAGTTGTGTCTTCTGGAATTTCTTCAAGTCTTGACAGATGGTCTGCTACCTGATTCTCAGCACCCTTTCTGTCTCTTATCTCCAAATCGAATTCCTGCAACAACAACACCCATCTAATCAACCTAGCCTTAGACTCTTTTTTGTTGATCAAGTGCCTGATGGCAGCATGGTCTGTATAGACTATGACTTTCATCCCTAGCAAATAAGCTCTAAATTTGTCAAATGCAAATACAATTGCTAGCATTTCCTTCTCTGTAGTGGTGTAGTTGATTTGTGCAGGGTTGAGGGTTTTACTAGAATAGTAAACCACATGCAACACCTTGTTCCTTCTCTGTCCAAGTAAAACACCAACTGCAAAATCACTAGCATCACACATTAGTTCAAAAGGTTGTGACCAATCAGGTGTGATGATCACAGGTGCAGTGATGAGTTTCTTTTTCAGTTCAGTGAATGCATTTAAACAGGATTCATCAAAAATAAAAGCAGTGTCCTTTTCAAGCAAGTTACACAAGGGTTTAGAAATTTTTGAAAAATCTTTAATGAACCTCCTGTAAAATCCGGCATGGCCTAAGAAACTCCTCACACCCCTGACTGTGGTTGGTGGGCTGAGCCTCTCTATGACTTCAATCTTTGCTTTGTCCACTTCAATTCCTTCTTGTGAGATCTTATGTCCCAAGACAGTTCCCTCAGTCACCATAAAATGGCATTTCTCCCAGTTGAGGACTAGGTTTGCTTCTATGCATCTCTTCAATATCAGTCCAAGGTTGTCCAGACATGCATCAAATGATTTGCCAAAAACCGAGAAGTCATCCATAAAGATCTCAATTATGCCTTCCACCATGTCAGAGAAAATGGCCATCATACATCTTTGAAATGTTGCCGGTGCATTGCACAGTCCAAATGGCATTCTCTTGAAGGCGAATGTGCCATAAGGGCAGGTGAAAGTCGTCTTCTCTTGATCATCAGATAGCAATCTGGTTGTAACCTGAGAAACCATCATGGAAACAATAATACATGAATTCGGCCAATCTATCTAGCATTTGATCAATAAAGGGGAGGGGAAAGTGGTCCTTTCTGGTAGCTTTGTTAAGCTTCCTGTAGTCCATGCACACTCTCCATGAATTGTTCAGCCTTGTAGGGATCAGCTCCTGGAGGTCATTTTTTATCACTGTGATTCCTCCCTTCTTGGGCACGCACTGCACTCCCACTTGCTGTCAGATATTGGGAAGATGATTCCAGCATCCAGCAGCTTGATAATCTCCTTTTTCACCACTTCCTTCATGACTGTGCTGAGCCTTCTTTGTCCTTCAATGGTTGGCTTAGCATCGTCTTCAAGCAGGATCTTGTGCATGCATATGGAAGGATTGATGCCCTTAAAGTCTGCAATTGACCATCCAATGACTTCCTTGTGCAATCTCAGTACTCTCAGCAATTTGTCCTCTTCAGTACCTGTAAGCATAGAAGAAATGATCACAGGTAAAGTGTTACTTGCTCCAATATAGGCATACTTCAAATGTGAGGGCAGAGGATTAAGTTCGAGATGAGGTGGTTCTTCAATTGAAGGTTTGAGGCATCTTCCTTCCTTAGTCAGATCTAACAGTTCAAAGGGTTGTTGTTTAGGATGCCACTTGGGGGAGTGGTTCAGGTAACTCAGGCAAGTGGCCCTATTCTCATCCCCTCCTTCTTGTTCCTCATTACAGTCTAGGCATAAAAGTTCTTTGAGGTGATCATCTTGCAGTAATTCTTCTGTCACTGCTTCTTCTGCTTCTACACTTCTTACCATGTAGCAGTTATGGACTTCAGCAGGATATCTCATATTTTTGAAGATGTTGAAGGTAACCTTCTCTCCATCAAAGTGCAGTGTGATTTCTCCCTTTTTCACCTTAATGATTGCATCACTTGTTGTCAGAAAAGGTCTCCCCAAGATGATGGGCACATCCCTGTCTTCTTCCATGTCCAAAACCACAAAGTCTTCTGGGTAAACAAAATTACCAACCTTCACAAGAACATCATGTAAGATTCCCTTTGGGTAGGTCAGTGACCTATCCGCCAACTGCAATGTCATGTTAGTAGGTACCAGAAATTTGTCCAGATCGAGGAATTTAAATACAGACAATGGCATGAGATTTATGCTTGCACCAAGATCTAATGATGCCTTTGAAAATTCTCTGATTCCTACTGTACAAGGCAAAGCGAAACTACCCAGATCTTTCAACTTAGGTGGCAATTTTCTCAGGATAGCTGCACTACATTCTTCATTTAGAGTGACAAAAGCAGAGTCATGTACTTGTAGTTTATTGGCCACCAAATCTTTCAAGTACTTGAAGTATTTAGGCATTTGTTTAAGTGCATCAACAAGTGGTACATTAATGTGTAAACTTTCTAAATTTTGAATAAACCTGTTGAGCCCTTCATCCATTTTGGCCTTCTTTTGTCTTACCGGATATGGTGGATTTGGAGCTGGCTGTTGTGGTTCCTTAATTGGTGCTGGGAATTGAATTTCCTCCATTCCAGGTCTTTCAGCTGTTTGCTCCTGTTCAACCACATCATCATTATCAGATATTTTCTCAGAAAATGTTTCATTCTTACCTGCAGGGTCACTCACGGGAGTGACTTTTTCACTTGGCTGATTGAGTTGCTTTCCACTTCTAAGAGTGACAGCCTTTGCTTGCTCTTGGTCATTCCCCTTGGGTTTACAACCGTATCACTGGGCAGGCTTCCAGATGGTCTTTCAGCATTTTGTTTTGCAATCTGGGCCAACTGATTCTTCAAACTTTTACAAGACACCGCCAAATTCTTGATTGCATTTTGCACAGAAATCCATTTTTCTTCCTTTGGTATGTATTACTGGTTAGAACGCTGCTGATTCTGATAGTTGAGAGGTTGACCATCTTGTCTGTGAAATCCTGGGGGTTGAGCAGGCCTCTGATAATTTCCTTATTGTAGTGCATTGTTCCAGTTAGGCTGATGTTGATTTCTCCAATTATTGAAGTTGTTGAATCCCCCAGCATTGCCTTGTCTGACAAACTGGATAGCTTCCATTTTGGAGGGACAGTCATCCAAACTGTGGGATCCATCACATAATACACACACTTCAGCCTTGGATTTGGACAACTCACTCCTGAGTTTAGTCATTTCATTCATCATAACAGCCATTTGTGCTTGCAGGTGTGTACTGGGGTCAAGTTCCATCATCCCTCGCTGTTTTGTACTTGCCCTTGGATCAGATTGCCATCTTGAATGGTTGGTGGTCATATTGTCAAGCAACTGCCTTGCTGCATCAACCGGCTTCATCATAAATACACCACCAGCTGCAGCATCAAGGGAGTCTCTTGTAGTTGGTAGCAGTCCATTGTAGAAGATGCTCAATTGAAGATGCTCTTCCAAACCATGCTGAGGGCATTTCCTGATCATTTCCTTCAGTCTTTCCCATGCTTCATAGAGTGTTTCTGTTCCATGCTGCTTGAAATTCATTATTGCTGTTCTGAGTTGTGCAGCTTTTGCGGGTGGAAAGAATTTTGTCAGGAAACACTGTCTTAACTCTTCCCAAGTAGAGATAGAGTTGTTGGGTAAGGTGTTGAACCATGCTTGGGCGTGATCCTGCAAAGTAAAAGGGAATAACCTCAGTCTAATGTCATCATTAGATAAGCCTTGAATTTTAAAAGTACTGCATAAACGCAGGAAACTTCGGATATGATCATTAGGATCTTCATGAGGTAATCCATGGAATGGGCAGGCTGATTGAGTCCGTTGGATCATCTGTGGCTTTAGCTCAAAATTGGTTGCCTCTACATCCGGGAACACCAAAAGGGATTGGACTTCTTCTTGTTGTGGAATAAAGAAATCTCTAAGCAGTCTCTCTGGTCGATTCTGTTGATCCCCACCAGGGTTCCTATTGTTCTCCGGGTTACCATCTTGGTTAGCCATTTCTGATGAACCTTCTTGGTTGTCCTGTTGCAACCGGTTCTGCCTTCTTCTTGCTGCTCTGGTTCTGCGTATGGTAGCTTCAATTTCTGGGTCAAAAACAGGTTCACTCCATTGGTGCCTTCTAGTCATACACCAAAGAAAAGAAACTGGAAGCTCAGTGAGGTAAACAGAGAAGAATTTTATATATGTACAAATAAACAAAAATAACAAATTTTTGGAGGTTTTACATCGTCCCCGGCAACGGCGCCACTTTCTAGTGCGTGCCGAGTTCACCAAAACTATTACTAACTTGGATTATGATTTTTGTAGATAATGGAAGCTAGTTCGATCCCACGAGGACAGCTAATTACCAAATTTGTTGTAAAGAAAGACTACCAGTTAGACAAGGTGTCGCTCAGGAGAATGGAAACAGTCACTCAGGGGAATGAAAGCCAGGGGTGTTCTTCTCCTCTTCCTACTGTTGTAGTTGTTTTATTAGCACTGTAATGGTTGAGTTCTTGTTCATTCAGCTCACTTATAACTCTAAGTCAGTTCCCATTTTTCCAAGAGTCATCTTTGCAACCTTAACAATCTATTTTCCAATGATTGATTCCAGATACAAAGTCATTAAGTTCTTAGGCCTTCAAGAATGCTTATGTTAACTAAGTATATTCCTATCTTAGTTAAAACCATAGACTGTTACCTCTATGTCATAAGTTAAAGTTGAAACAATCCAAACCAAGTTTATCTTTCCAGATCTCCCTTAGTTCTAGCATGCATTCAATTTAGTGATCAAGTAAATGAATGTAGAAAAACTTTCAACTTCAAAACAAGGAACAAAACCAGTGCATTAACAACTAGAACATAGGTTGAGGAGAATAACCCTTGGAAACTGTTTAGCTACTCATACAGATTAATGCTACATCTACTATATCAAAAGACATCATAGAAGTATGCATAATAAACAAAGTTCAAGCTAACAGTCAAGAGACAAGAAAAAAGCTTGTACAGTTTCTGAGCCACTCCTGGGAGTGAAAGAGTTCACTCATGGAACTGAAGCAGAAACTGGGATGGTTATTCTCCAACTTGGCTTCCTTACTGAGTTGTTGTTGCTTCCTCTTCCTTCTTGCCTTCTACCTAGAGTTTTTCTGTGTATGTTTTGCAACTGAAAGGGTAACCAAAAAGATTCTTCCCCTTCTTCTGAGAGTGAATTTTCCCTTTTTATAGGGTCTTGCAGCCGGTTCTTTCATCATGAGAGTCATCACATGCTTGTAATTTGTTTAATCCTCCCAATGCCTTGAGCTTGGAATCCAAACTTGGTTGTTCTTCTTCTCTTCTTCCAGAAGTGGCAGCATTGCTCTCATTGATCAGCAGGGGAGGCTGAAATTTCGGCTGGGGGACAAGCATGCCTCATGGAGGAGACATACTCATTAATGGCAAGATGCTTCTTGTCTAAGGAGGTGCTTCTTCGTCCAGCTCAGCAAGATTGCCTCAGCAGCCCACAATTTATTCCCTTGGCCTCACTTTTTCAGCAATTTTGCAGTCAAACCCCAACCTAACAAAAATATGAAAACTAGTTAAGTAGAATGCACTAATAATAGAAAATACCTCCCAATTTCTTACTAAATTCAGAGTTAATTGTGATGTTTTTATGTAACAAATAAACTATTATCAGGTGCCGAGTATGAAGTGACAGCATCTTATTCACCTCAATCGCTGAATGGAAAAATTACACATTGAAGGAAAACGATGAATGCGATGTTGTTAAGTTCAGAGCTAACTCACAATATGTTGGGAGAACCGGTCTTGTCTAGTAATAACTACCTTTTAAATAGGGTACCCTGAAAGAAAGAAGACAAGACTCCATATGAATTATGGAAAGAAAAAAAAGACCATCCTACAAACACTTACGAGTGTGGGTGACTTGCGAAGATAGTACCTCCGCGAAAGGCATTAAAAATTGAACCTAAAACAGTGGACTACATTTTTATTGGCTATGCATAGAGTAATGCATATCAGTTCTTGGTGCATGTTTCGAAGATTTCGGATATACACAAGAACACGGTTTTAGAGTAAAGAAATGTATATTTCTTTGAAAATATATTCCCTTGTAAGACTAAAACCGTGTTCTTGATGTTGAGGTTTAGGTTGAGGTTGAGTGGGAAAATATTAAAGTGAAAGAGCGGGAAAATATTCCACAAGAAGTCCATGATTCGGTTGAGGTTCAAGATGTTGAACCAAGACGGAGCCAAAGAGAAAGAGTGGGAAAATCATTTGGTAAAAGTGAGAATCTCTAACTTATACTGAGACAGTAAGTTATTCTGAGGGACCTTTATGGGAAGAAATCATAAAGAGTGAGATTGATTCAATTTTACAGATTCACACTTGGGATCTTGTGGATCTCCCACCTGGAAGTAAACCATTAGGATCAAAATAGATCCTCAAAAGGAAAATGAAACCTGATGGTTCCATTGATAAATACAAGGCTAGGCTTGTAACTAAAGAGTATAAACAACAAGAAACTTTAGACTACTTTGATACAAATTCTCCCGTGACGAGAATAAATTCCATAAAGATGATACTTGCTATCGCAACCTTAAGGAATTTGGAAATACATCAAATATTTGTTAAAACAGCTTATTTTTAAATGGAGATTTAGATGAAGAAATTTACATGAAATATTCTAACTAATATTGACCGTAAAATATTTATTCGACAAGAACAGATTAAAAAGATTCGACGAAGAACATGTAGATTCTGGACCGTCGCGCGTTGCGCGATCAGTTCGTAATTCCCATCATTATGTCTTATTCGTGTCCAAAAAGATATGGAACAATACGAGGGTTTCCAAGCTCTAGGCACAAAAAAAAAAGTCTGTAAACTAGTAAAGTCCTTGCATGGTTTAAAGCAAGCTCCTAAGAAGTGGCATGAAAAATATGATCATGCAATGATTACTTGTGGATTCAAGATCAATGAGTGACAAATGCGTTTGTGTCAAGGAGATAGAAAACGATTATGTCATTTTATGTCTATATGTAGATAATATACTTATTGTCGGTAACAGTGACAAGTTGGTCAAATATACTAAGAATATGTTGAATTCTAAGTTTGACATGAAAGACATGGGTCTAGTTAATATGATTTTTAGGTGTTAAAATCATAAGGACAACAGATGGTCTAATTTTAAGTCAAGCTCATTACATAGACAAAATTCTTAAGTTTAACAAGAATGATTCTGGAGTTGCGAAAACACCATTAGATAACAATATCCATTTATCCAATAATCGTGGACAGGAAATATCCCAAGTGAAATACTCTCGGATAATAGGGAGTCTGATGTATCTAATGAGTTGTAGTAGGCTAGATATTGCTTATGTTGTAAGCAAATTGAGTTCACACTCGAATAATCCAAGTGCTGAACACTGGACTACTATAATTAGAGTACTGATGTACCTATGATATACTCGTGACTATCCGTCTGTGTTAGAAGGCTACACAGACTCCAATTGGATATCTGATGTAAAGGAGCCGAATTGCACAAGTGGCTATGTGTTTACACTAGCTAATGCAACTGTGTCATGGAAATTCTCTAAACAGACTGTGATAGCTAGATCCACAATGGAATATAAGTTTGTTGCTTTGGATAAATGTGGTGAGGAGGCTGAATGGCTACGCCATTTTTTGGAGGATATTCCAAAGTGAGAAAAACCAGTGCCACCTATCAGTATTCATTGTGACAGTCAATCGGCGATTGGAAGGACACAAAATACTATGTATAATGGTAAGTCAAAACATATTCGTCGTCGACACAATACCATTAGACAACTCCTCTCAACAGGAATTATCACAATTAAGTATGTGAGGTCAAAGGATAATCTTGTGGATCCACTAACCAAAGAGTTAAATCGAGAGGCAGTTGAAGCATTGACAAAAAGAATGTGTATAAAGCCTATAAAGAGAAAAAAAAAATTAAGAAAGAAAACCCAACCTAGTTGACTGGAGATCCCAAGATCTAGGTTTAATGGAATAACCTAATCATAAGACTTATTGTAGTCACTGTGAGGAGGGGGAACCTCAACTCATTCTTGTCATCAAACAGTGATATGACGAAAAAAGATTGCAATCGGTTAATTTAATGTTACTTAAGTGTGTAATATCATTTACCCTAGACTTAAGAAATCACCTATGTGAGAGAGAAGTATGACCGTTACAAAAGAGAACTGTTAAGACTCAATTCTTTAGAAGCTCTTGCAGAACCAGGACATATTCATGGCCAAAATGGACAAAACCATGAGACCGGAACTAAATAGAAATAATTTTTGCGCACGGTATGAGAGTTTCTCTACATAATACAGCTGGACAGTTCAAGAACGCGTCTACTACACAGCTAGCACATCAATCATACTTTACAAGGAGGAAGTTCAAAGGGTAAAACCTACTCTCTCTATACAGGAATCAGTTCGGTGAACACCATCATCATTGTTGATTCGAAACAATATCTCATTCATGTGGGGGATTGTTAAAAATGACTAATAAGTGAAGGAGAATTAAGTTTCTCAAGAGTTAGGAAAATAAAGTTAAAGCTAAGGACCCACATTAGTATTGGGAAGAATTGGAACTAACTTTATAAGTGAGATCCTAAAATTGGCTCACAAGATACCTAGCCAATACTATACCACATGTCTCCCGCTCGCGTACGCCCACGCAGGGTGATGCAAATGAGGGTCCGATCAGGGCCAAAATAGTTTGACTCATGTGTGTACGTAACCTGCAGACACGAATGTCGAACCGAACACTCGCAGGCCTGATCAACCCACGTTTTGCTCCAATTCAGATTAGTTTTTTCCAATAAATTCAATAGATAGTTTTTAGCACTAGTTAAATGTCAGGTTGACTAAATTTAAAACCGTTAAATGTTTTGCTAATAATGTTGAACATCTCTGACTGTCTTCAGAAATGAATTAGCAGTGTTAATTTTCTTAATGGTCAGGTTTGAATGGCCTTATTAACCTACTGTGTTAATAGTCTCAATGTCCAGTTTGAATGATCAAAAACGTTTTTACTTTCAAATTGCTGCAATGACTCTTGATGTTTCAGCTGAACTAAAAGTTTTCTCAAGCTTATAAATAAGCACTCATTTTCCGAGGTTCAATACACCTTTTTCTCATCTTTTCTCAGTTTCTTTCGAGCCTTTCTTTCTTTCCAGTTTCGGTGTTCATAACTTTATTCTAAATTTTAGTTCGTTTGTAGAGTTATTTTGTGCTAAATAGTCTTTACGTTTCCGTTGTATTCTGAGAAACAGTTGCATGAGATTCTCAAGTACCTTAAAAAGAGGCAAATCTGTTTTAAAGAGATCTTATTTTCACAAGTCTCGAATTATTCTATCTTTCTATTTTCATAGCCTTTACACATACTTGTCATATTTTATCCAACAGTTTCAACTTTCAAGAGTTTAATTTCAAATTTTCAGCTCCGGCTAATCAAATTGAGAGAATGCCTTCATCATCAATTCGATAAATAGAATAGAATAATCATCGGTTCAAACTATATTCCATGTCTTTCGTTTGACTACGGGGAGAAAAAAAACTATGGGGAGAAGAATGAATAATTTTGAGTTAATATAATGTGGAAGGGAGAACACTTTGACACAAAATCAAAATTCTAGAAAAACACCAAAGTATCATGGTTGAATATTTCAATGATTCTACCGGATCTAAATTTCTACGTAAAACTCGTATCTTTTGGGGATAATTTGCTCTAACTATTCCGTGAAGGGCGTTACTTGTTTTAAATTTTTCTCTAATAATCAAATTGAAATTATTTAATCCACCCTGTCCTCGTCTTATTCCCACAGCCAATCACGGTATGGCCGTAGTGTTCAGTGTTCACTACCGCGTTCCAATCACTATTGTTTGAGTGTACCTCACCGGTCACTGGACCACAACAAATCTTGAAGCAAACAGAATCACCAAAACTCATAATGAGAAAATGAAAAACGGACCCCAAAAAAAAAAAAGCCAGTGGACCTTATAAAAATGATAAAAGGAAAAAAGATGAGAATCAGAAAAGGCCAAAAAGATTCTAACCAGTAACGAAACCAATCAACCAATTTGTCTTAGTAGCCAGATCTGATTCAATAAGAAAACAAGGAGTTCTAGCTAGTTTAGTGAATTCACCTCTAGGCCAATAAGAATTTAACCAGTTTTTCGAGGCTGATCTAAATTAATACCGCAGATTTGTAACAGTAAGCAAGATCCAGACGTCAAAATTAGAAATAGAGCATCCATTGAAATAAAAAAACAAGCTGATTAATCGAAACCCATCATCGACATATAATATCAACAACATCAAATAAAAATTCATACATCCCCCAATTTTTTTTTCCAGAGTACCACAATTGACCCGACAAAGAGACCAGAGATACACCAAATTAGACCCAAATCAAACAAAAGTTTATCAAACTGAAGAATTTTATTGCGACAACATAACGCCTAAAACTAGCAAATCACGAACCGCGATCTAAGCCGATCCGTCGAGGAAGTGAAGAGTATCGCCGTTATACCCAAAGCAGTGGCCGGGGCTGTCATAGATCTTGAGGAAGAATCGGGACCTGGGAACATCCAATTTCGTCTCGAGAAGCTCCGCAAGCGACGCCGACAGCTTCTTGTTGTTCTCGGGATTCAGGCCGCCGACGGAAACCAACTCGGCGTAGGCAGTCGGATGCTCGGTCTTCCCGCACGACATCGGAACCGATCCTTTCAACACCACCATGATATGATCCTCTGATTTGCCCGTGATTTTGGCGATGATTGTTGTGGCCTCGGAGAGGATCGACGAGGTGTCGATTCCCTCCAAGCCCACGTTGGTTGACACATTGAAGCACGGCATATTTTTTCCCCTTTTTTTCTTTTCTTCTTGTCCGCTTTTTTCGCGGCTCGCAGATTTGTGTTTTTTTTGCTTTTGGTTTCTCACTCACAATACTCCGACTTCTCCTATTATTATATACGCCCAGGTTGACGTAAGCGTTGACGTAGATTTGATGTATATGTAATGAGTCTTGTAGTTTTAGGTCCTCTTCTTTCGCCTAATTCGAAAATTGGTTCACTTTTTCTTTCTGGTGCTACACTTTCAATAGTCAACTTTTTTTTTTTCCTTTACGGAATGTAAACATTCTAAAATAAAATTCAAAACAGGACAACCGTTTCGAAATGGAGGGAATAGTTAGAATCTAAAATACCTTGTGAATCTCTTTTGGTGTTTTTTTTATTTACAATTTGACTGTTAAATTGTGTAGTTAAATTAAGCAGTGACAATTAAGATGGTGAACAATTATTCAGAAATGTTATTTAAATACAAATATTAGAGGACAGTAATTTAACCAAATTATTAAGTATACATGCAAAATTTTAAAGGTTGCGAATTTAGGAGGGATGTACTGGGTCCGCAACCAAAACAAAACTTTTTTTCATTCTTTTAATTGAATCATGCTCCCTCCATCCCAGAAAAATAGTCCAGTTTAAAAATGTATAATTTTTTTAATGTGGTCAACACACCAAATGTACAACTCATTTTAATGCCCCTAACTTCAACTAATGCCCCTTCTAGTTATTTCTATAAAAATTAACTACATATACATTTATTTTACAACTTAAATTTGATCAAATTTTTATCTCAAAAAATATTGACAATGGATCTTGATAGAAAGATCTGATTACGTAGATTAATTTGATATATAACATATTTTTTTAATTATTTATGTATTAAAAGATATGATCATTTGAAAAAATAGGAGAAAACTAAAAAAAATGAATATCAAACAAAGTGGACCTTGTTTTCCTTACCACTACTCTTTCAGATATTTAAGTCATTTCAATTTAATTAATTTTGATTTTTTTGAAACTAGACTATTTTTTTAGCGACAAATTTTTTTATTAAATTGGACTATTTTTATGGGTGGGAGGGAGTATAAAAATTGTGTAAAATATATGATGCGGCGTGTTGCAAGGTTCGGTGCGACGTTTTGATTTTGACGCTACATTTCTATCGGTTAAGGTTTAGTGGAAAATCACGCATACTTTGAATGCATCAGAGGATAGTCAAGGTTTGCAAGAACCTCTACAGTTTGATTACCATACAAATTATTGATGGGAAATAAGGGCACAAGACCGGTCTCGTGCTTATTAAAACTTGCACTCGTGGAATACATGAATATTAACTAGTAAAATTATGTACTTATAACAAGTCACAACTTTTTGCAACATTTATGCATCAGGTTGTGTATCCGTGTAAAAAAAAAAGTCGATGTGTATGACTTCTAGTACTATCAAGCCATGAGATAAGTTGTAAGGGGGAAAATAAAAAATTAATATACATTATAAAACTTTGGAGTTATAACAAAAGGAATAATAGTATATATCTCACTTAATTTATCTTAGTTTTGTATCCCACTTACCATGTTAACTAGTATGTGTCCCGCGCTTTGCGCGGGTTTGTCAATGTTGAAAATTTATCTTCCAAAAGAATTAATTAGATAATGTAGTTATTAATATTTCTTAAAACCGTAAAAAATTTTTGATTAATCAATTTTAGATCAAAATGAGAAGTATTGATATTTTTTATGAGATGTATATTTGTAAGATCTGACCAAAAATATTACAACAAAAATTTTGAAAAGTTGTATAATAAAAATTGTCACCACTAAGTAATGTTATGTTTGGATTAAAAAATATATTAAAAAATGTGTAAATTATGTCTAGATGCCTATGGCTTATTTATAGGCAAGGAGACGTTGGGGATTAGACACAATTAATCGTTCTTGAAAATGTAAAATCGATAAAATTAAAGATAAAGTAGCACATAAATAGAACTTTAAGGGCTAAAATGATAATAAATTAAAAGTGATTCTTGATGGTCTCAATTAGCGATACGTGTCGATTATCTTTCTTTCCTTTAATATATATAATGATTACTTCTCGGGTAATATATTTCTTACACTTTGTGCACCATTTCATACTCTATATTAATAACTAAATATAAATATTATATCTTATGTCAATATTTGTCTCATTTGCAATCATTCGCATTTCTATTTTATCTCATCGGTTTCAAAATAACTTTCGTATCTAATTATTTTCCTTTTAGTGAAACATGAAATAAACATGACAATTCAGGATGCGACAATCATTTGTGAGGGATGGATTAATATATCAATTGCCGAACTCTTTGAAAATTGAACATCAAAGTCTACATACAAGTGAGGATGGCTATGCGTAAATCTATTACACAACTGTTATACCATATACGATTATGCAATTAAAGATATAAGATAAGCAAATTTATTACTCCCTCCGTCCCATAATTATTGTCTACTTTACCCAAAAAATTTTGTCCCAAAATTATTGTCCAATTTGACTTTTTATGGATCAAGTTACACATTTGTCCTTAGTAAAAAATATTATCCATAAAATCTTAGTGGTTAAACAATTACTTATGTAGGGGTATATCCGGTTGTTTAAGGCAAAATAGAGTTAAGTTTGACCAAAAATAAAATCTTTCATTTTAGTAAAAGTGGATAATAATTATGGGACGGAGGGAGTATTTTACTAAAAAAGTTACTAATAAATTAAGAGGTTATGATGATTTTGTTAGATAGTGGGTGTAGTATTGCGCTAAAAAAAGATACAACAGAGGTTTTTCTCCAATAATTATATTTGCGTGTACATGCAAATTAGTCAATATCAACATATTGAGGATATTCTCAAACGAGTTGGGATTATGGAATCAGATATGCCCATCCTTACCCTTGTAGTTACACAAAAGAGACTGTTTCCCTTATGACTCAGGATTACATGTAAATTGTGGAGTAAATTTACATATATGAACCTAATAATGGAGATAGTGTTTTTAGGCGAAGATTCCGTCATTAAGACGGTAAAACTGAGACATCCTAAAGATTCTGATCTCTTTGGACTTTGATCGATAGAATGTATAAACCGGGGTTATATAAAGGAACTATCTCCGATATCGTTAAACTTATGGCAACATGGAGTAATACATCATAGACTGTGCTCCTTTCCTATGTTATGTTTTCCAATGTTATGTGGATTATGGGACTAGATAATGGTACTCCAAATCATCAACATGAAAATCATGCATAGGCATGGCACACAGGATTAAGATCACAACAAATTGCTCCATTCGTTCCGAAATGATTTTCCTGTTTGAACTTTTGAAAATCTAAACTGGACAATAATTTTAAAACAGGAGGAGTTCAAGAAATTGTACCAAATCTAAGAGTTCTCGTTCACAAATAAACGAATTAAAGTAATCCTAAAACAAGTTACTAAAACAAAATTCATTTATTTTTGTGAAACCAGCAAATTAATGGCACACGAACCTCTGACGAGCTTCGGCTGATCATCACTCAACTCTATGCGGAGCCGTCGAGCCACGCTAGGGTGTTTCCGTCGAATCCAAAGTTGTATCCCGGGCTGTCGAAGATCTTAAGGAAGAAACGGTTCTTGGGCACTTTCAGTTTCTCCTCCAGAAGCTTGGAAAGCGCGGCTGCCAGTTTCTTGTTCACCTCGGGATTGAATCCACCGACCGAAACCAGCTCTCCGTAGGCTGTCGGATCCCCGGTCTTCCCCAGCGTCATCGATACCGATCCCTTCAACACAACCATGATTAAGTTCTCTGACTTTTCCATGGTTTTCGCAATTATCGATGTGGCCTCGGAGAGGAACGACGAGGTATCGACTCCCTCCAAACTTACATTGGTTGACAGATTGAAGCAAGGCATGGTTTTGTTTTTGTTTTTTTTTGCTCTTTTGGTTTGTGTTTATTGATGATGCGATCACTTTAGTTTTTGCTGTCGGATTCTATGTGTATATGTATAACCACCCACCTTTGACGTCGCTTTTTGAGAGAAAATCGGAGATAGGTTCAGTTGCTATTCTTTGGCCTACTAATAAGACGAAAAACCATGGTTTATAATTAACCATCGGCGGAGCAACGGATCGAGCCGTGGCGATCGAGTCCCTTTACTGAATTTTCACAAAAAGGCGAGCTTGAATTTTCAATGTAAGAAATTATTATTTTATTTTTGTTTAAATTCGTATTCTTGACGTACAAAATGAATTTGTCATTTTACCATTGTTTTTAACTTTGGAACCCTTAGTGCTTTTTTTTTTAAATAAAAGAACCACCTCTAATTATACTAGTGATGTCTGGTCGCGCACGACCCTGGCCCAATATATCTGTAAATCTTAAAAATATTTGTATCTGGAAAAAAAATATTTTGTATTTGGCCCGATATATTTTAGAAATATTTGAAGAATTTTAGAAATGTTTTATAAGTGTGACGTTTGTATTTGGCAAAAAAATAAATTGTATTTGGCCCGGTACGTTTTAGAAATGTTTGAAGATTTTAGAAATATTTTATAAGTGTTACTTCTTAAATATAAATAAACTTGATCAAATAGATGTCTTGAAGTAAATGCTAGACAAAATATAAAAGCATCCTAATAAGTTTAAATATTAGTAAGATAATTTATTGATTTTCTCCATTGGTTGTGCCAAATTAATACTTAGTTTTGGAGATTTATAATAGCTTTGTAGTTAGCTTCTTCCAAAGGGTATACGCTTAATTGTTGGAACTATTTCTTCCAAAAGTTTACAGGTAGTAAAATATCAAAAAATAATTTTGAAACTGGTTAATTGTTGAAACTGGTTGATCACAAATATGAGAATGAAAATAATATAAATTTGCATAGGTTTCAAGATATAACAAAAAAGAACTCACCTCACGATGACAAATAAAAAAAAAAGTAAAAGATAGCCCATTAAAATTTGAGAATTTTTATTTTTTTTCTGTAGGTAAAAAAGATGTA